TGAAGGTATCCTTTTTTCTCCCTGACCTCTACTTTACCAACCAGGATGTCTTTCTCCTGGGACAAGACCCCTGATAATATGTCAAGCATTTGACATGACATCTCATCAGTTTTGCTTCTAAGGAGCATTCTGGCTCTACTTCCTCCACCCAGATTTGTTCCTTCTTCTGGAAATCCATGATATAGTCAATATTCTTCAACAATGGCGTAATTCAAAGGCATCAATCCTTCCTCAAGTCTTCTTTATTCATTGGTCAGTTTTACCATGAATATGAAGTAATTATATATCACAAAGACTACAGCTTAGGAAACTCGATAGGTCAATTCTATTCTGTCTCATCTCTCTCTTTGACATCAAGTTGTAACAAACTTATAGCTGATCCTGTAACAAGTTTTTAAGGCCATAAATAGCACAGTAGGAGACTTCCCATCTTTCTCCCACAGAGTTGCTGATGAATTTGAACAGGCAAGAAAGCATAGCCTTTGGGTACAGAGCTCAACTTCCTGAATATTACACGACTCTATCCTATAGAGTTGTTATAAGTCAAAATAGACTTGCTGGCACACAACAACAGAATCTTTATGGAAGTAGAGTGACACATCTTTTTCCTTAGAGTGTCTAGTGAGTTCAAACCAATAACATTTTTATTAGCAGGGAAGTCACTAGCCACTGTGCTACAATGGTTCTTTCTTGGAGACATAAAATTTAAAGTTTTAAAAAAATTTGACAGTTACATGATATTAACTAGTAACTTCACATTTACTTACTATTGCTTCATCAGCTTGTCGAACCACATCAGCTGTTTTTGCCTCCAACTCTGCATTTAAACGTCTAAAAGGATAAAATAATTTATTAACAAAGATATACTAAATAACAATCTCACTGATTTCACATGCAAGCAAGATTTTACTGAAGATTTACATTAAGCCATGGGATGTTGTTATATGACATCAAGTCAAATACAACTCATAGTGGTTCTATGAACAATGGATTTCAACCATACCATTCAACATCTCAACTATTCATATGCAAATTCAAGCTGAAGCTGAGGAAAATTAAACCAAATCCAAGGCAACTAAAATATGACTTTGGGTCTATCCCACCTGAATTTCAGAACCATCTCAGGAACAGGTTTGAGGCTTCGAACACTAATGAGCGAAGGCTAGATGAGTTGTGGGAGGATATCAAGGGTATCATCCAGGAAGAGTGCAAAAGGTCATTGTAAAGACAGAAGAGGAAGCGAAGACCAAAATGGATGCCAGAAGAGACTCTGAAAATTGCACTGGAGCACAGAGAAGCCAAAACACAAGGAAGAATTCAAGATACTAAAGAGGTGAATAGAAGATTTCAAAAGGCAGCATGGGAT